GCGATCTTAGCGAAAGGTCCGTCTGGCCCACCAGACTTGTTGGCTGTGTTGTCCTCGTCGTCTCCTGCAATGAAGCTGTTGAACTTTGATAGAAGCGAGCTTCCAACCTTGTCCATGCTAGGCTTCGAGATCCACGATGACGATCCATCCTTCGGAGACTGCGACAGTCGCTTGCTCAGATCGTCAAGACTGGCGATGAAAGCAGCGTTGTAGTATAGCGAGGTTTGAGTTGTAGCCTTCATTGCCGCTGCAATGGCATCGCAATATGCTTGTGCGTCTGTCCGGTACCCATTCTCGGCGAGTTGATATGCATGTGCAAGTTTGTAGTTTTGCAAATGAGGAATGACATACGAGCCGCTCGGAGATGACAGCGATAGCGCGAATTCGTATACCTCGGTCAGCAATATTGGCTCCATCTCGACACCCATCTCCAGAGGGTTGAGACGATGGTCAGCGCTGATCAAAACAAGATCAGCCTGCGGGTCATCGACTCCGCTGACTTTCAGAACCGAACGCGCGATGATGAAGCACACATGTGCAGCTTCAATGCGACCGTATTGAGCCAGAAGCCTTCCAAGCGAGAGTAGCGCTGATGCGTCACCTTCGCTACGGTTATTCAGAATCAGCGCAACTGTCTCCCGCCACCTGTCTAGACCCTGGAGTGCGTTCTGGGTTGCGCCAACACCATCAGCGCTCACCATCTGGAATCCGGCACGAGCCGAAGCAGGTACCAGTTCGTCAATACAGTCCTCGTGGTTACCAGCAAAGACTTCGTACAATACAGCCAGCGCCTGGTTGTTGCGTCCAGCCTTCTTGACTTCTTTTCGAACGAATTCTTGGACAACCTGCTTCCATATGTCCTTGCTGAGAGTAGAAGACAGCAGCATCGCATGGCCCCATAAGCGCTGGTCAACAGCATGCCAGACAGCCTTCTCGCGATCACCCTTGACAAGCATGCCCTGCAGATCTTCAACAGCACGGGGATCGATGGGCTCTGCCTGGAGGTTGGAGGTGTTGGATCTTGAACGTCCGACAATGTCCGCTGCCGTCGAATATGAACCGGCTTCGTCAGATGTCTCGTCGCCTGGAGGTAGTAGCAGCTTCTTGACAGCGGCTTCTGCAGGAGTACCCTCCAATTTGCCATCATTATCGACCAATGCTTGCATGAGTTTCCAAAGGAGGATGCGATCATCCACGCGCTTCAACTCGTCTTCGCTCATAGTGTGTTCGAGTCCTGGCTCTTTAGACTGGTTCTCAAGTGCTTCGATTTTACGGCCAAGCCATGCTGACACATCCTTCTTCTTGCCCTTGGCCTTGAGGGGACCAGGGAACTTGGCAACGTCTTCTGGCAGAGGGAGAACCTCCTTGACACTCTGGATGCGAATCTCACCAGGGCTACTCTTCATCATCGGCGCTGATCCGCCACCTCCGTAGCGAGGAATCTGCTTAGGGAAGCTCGTAACAACATTGCCTCCTAGGCCCCATGTGAACACAGGATGACCCTTCCATCTTTCGAGTGGGTCTGCCGAGCGTTCGTCTTCGGGGACAATGAAGTCGTAGTTGACTGATGCCTGTCGACGATGGGGGATGACGTTGACCGAGCTTGAAGCAGTAGGCCGGCCGCCGTAGACTGAAGACGAAGGCATCATACTGTATGCAGGCTGCTTCATAGTCGCTGTTGGAGATTGTGAGTGAGAACGTTGTGGGACGGCCGGCTGGGCTGGCTGGTATCTTGGTGCATAGCCATCGGTCTTCCGTGGTGAGCCGACTGCTGATGAAGGTGAACTCCTTAGAGGTGGCGTCTCTGACCGTCCAGTAGGCGGCCTCGAACTCAGAATTGGCTCCTGCTCTTCAATCTCGCTAACCTCACCCAGTGGGCTTCTGAATGGTGGACGGGGCATTCCATCAGCCGATTGCGTGACCTGATGGTTTGGAGGATATTGAGCATTGTTTTCGGGGGCTTGTTCCTGCTGATGAGGCATGCTATGAAAGGCTAGCGGGCTGGAAGTACGGGGCGCAAAAGGCTGTGAAGGAGTCCGGGTCAAGTTGTTATGCGGCTCGGACTGATAACGAGCATGAGGCTGTCCTGGCGGAGGCGCGGGCGAGTATCGCGGGTTCGCCGCTGGTGCACTTGGGGGTGCAGGAGAGTACCGTGAATTGGCAGCTGGTCCCGACGGAGGCGGAGCAGGAGAGTATCTGCTCGTGGAAGGAGGCGCTTGCACTGGCTGAGGAACGGGAAGACTGTTTGTTCGCGCAGGTACCGATGGCTGAGTAGGGAACATGGCCAACTGTTCTGGCTGCCTGAACGGAGGAGGAGTAGCGACTTTGGCAGCATCTGGGATGAACTCATTCCGTAAGGACGAGGTTGAAGCGGTGCGCTCCTTTGGAGGAAGTTGCGGGGGAGGATGGCTGACTGGAGGTTGAACAGGCATATTCGGTTGCGGGGTGTAGCGTCCAGATGGGCGAGGCTTGGAAGTAACAGGCAGTTCGGCGAAGAAATCACTCGATGGTGATTTGGCTGTGACCGCGGGTTTTGGAGGTGCAGCCGGTGGTGGCATGCCGGTCATCTGAGACCGCATGGAGTGGCCTGATGAGGGTGGAGACAGACTAGCAACTGACATGCTCGACGACAATGGCGGTCGCGGAGGCCCCGCGTTCGAAGACATACTGCTAGTTCGCGGGGGTGGTGGAGTTGGCTGTACAGCAGACACTGTTGTTCGAGGAGCTGGTCGCTTTCGGGTAGTTACGATGTCTTCCGGCAGATCATATGGCGAGGCATAACCTCCTTTCGACTTGTCTACGAAACTTTGCGCTGAACTCGCCATTGGTGGTCGAGGTGGTTGCTGCTGCTGTTGCTGTTGGAAAGCCATATTCCGTCCAAAGCCATCATAAGCTGGTGCCACCGCGGGCTGCGACTGAGGGGCATATGGGTTCGCTGCCGGGGCAAGTGCGGGTGCGAGTGCAGGAGTTTGAGGAGCATATCGGCTTGCAGTTCCTGAAGGAGCGGCTTGCGTGGGTTGCTGTGCGGGTGCTGGCGCTTCATCATCGAGGAAGCCTTCGTCGTCGCTCAACTCAATGACGGGTGCTTCTTCTTGGTCAGGCAAGAAGTCGTCGTCCAGGTCAAGATCCAGATCCCACTCGTTCTTTTCGGGAGCTTTTGTTTCGGCCTGTACCACATGCGCGCCAGGACTTTGGTCTACCGCCTGCGCAGGTTCGATCTGCTGGCTCGCGCCCAGACCAAAGAAGTCTTCCTGCTCTTCCGAATTGCCCCAGTCGATGTCGGCTCCAGTGTTTCCGCCTACTGTGGTATTCCCAATAGTGTCGTCTCCGACGGTTGTCCCAACAGCCTCCGCCACGGGTGTCTCCAGAGGAGGTTCTTGTGGTTTCCCACCAAGATCAAAGGGGTCGTCGCCGGAAGCGCCCCACTCATCAGCCTCCGTGTCTGCTACCAAAGGCACTTTGACACTATCCGTCATAGCATCCTCCAGAGCTGTGGTCTCTCCTTGGTGCTCGTAGTTCTCCTCGGGATGCTGTTCGGGTTCCGCCTCTTCTTCTGAACTTTCCTCTGAGCTTTCCTCCCGTTGTATCTGCGCTGCAGGTCGCGAGTCTTCGCTCTCCTCTTCGGAATCCGAGTCTTCCTCCTCACTTGATTCGGCTTTTGCTGGTGTCGCTTGTGATTCGGTAATGTTGAGTGCCTGCGTGGCACTAACTAGATCTTCATCGTCGGCACCGTCTGCTCCACCCTCCAGGGGTTCGAGATGTTGGGGTGCTTCTGCGCTTGGTGGCGCTTGTATTGTGTCGTCGCGCGCAGTAGACTCGTCGGTCTCTGCTTCTTCCCGCGCGGGCTTGGTTGCAGGTACCGATGCGATTGGTGCAGCTGCTGCAGGCATTGAAGGAGTCTCTTCGTCCTCGCTCTCCTCTTCTGATTCTTCATCATCGTCCTCCTCATCCGCCTCCTCACTGTCATCCTCTTCCTCGTCATCTTCCTCTGACGACTCTGGTTTGGTTTGTGCGAACTGATTCGTGGGTTTCGCGCTAGGTGGTGCACTCAGTTCCTTCTCGTTGCGCAATGCGGGATTCCATGATGCGTTCGAGGCTGTGGAGGGGGTGGGAGGCGCGCCGCCGTAGGCGTAGGAAAAGTTGGGGCCGTCTTCGTCCATCACGGGATAATTAGGTAATTCAAAGGGTATCTACAAGTACTGCACAGGCAGTCAGCACTGGAATTGGGGGTCCGTGGCCAGAAGGTTGGGCCTCGGTCGGGGTGGTGAAGCGAGGTCTGACATGCCACGGTAGACGCCTCGTGGGACAAAATATGCAAACCGAGGAGAATTATGCAGGAGAAAGGAGTTTGTGTAAACGCAAGTGCCTATGACTGAGCGTGAAAGGAAGTCGCAACGGTGACTTGGACGCGACCCGCAAGAGGCGTAATCGCCATCCCTTTCTACGTCAGAGACAGAGAACATGGCTACGTACCTCTAGAGAAGCAGAAGAGCATGGGCTCTGCGTGTCGCACAACTGCGAAAGACGCGATCTTCGTCCAGGAAGGCAGCGAGAATCAAATATCGGAGGCGATCCCCGGGCGCATCGTAGGTAATCTGGCAGGAAGGGTGGGAAAGCGATCTGGCCAGCTGTTCCTGCGCCCAAGGTTGGACATTGAAACGGCCCGCCGCGGCAACCCTGTCCTCGAGCCACAGCCCTGCGCCTGCGCCACACAGCCCAGAGTGACGCGACGTCGAGACACATATTGATGGACTCTACTATTCACATACCGCCCTTCCCTTTGCAACAGCTACTATTCTCGGGAACTACGTCATATACCATCGACACGGCCCAAACAGCGCTCGGCCGCCGAAACAAAACATCGAGTCACCCAGACAGCCCATTCAGACACCCCCGAAACGCCGCGGACCCCCGAAGGCAACCCTCGCAGCCATTACCACACCCAGCCCGTCGCACATGAGGCGGAACTAGCCAGCACCCTCTCCGCCAGCCCATGAGCCATGGCCGCTCCCCACCAGTACCACCAGCCGAACGCGCCAGACGAGGACTCGGACCTAGAACTCGACCTAGAGGAGCTGGACCCTCTGGCCTCTCGCTCCCAGTCCGCCGCTACACCACCACGGCGCCAGTCCAAGGAGCAACGACGGCCATACCATGAGCTGGGTGCGAGAATACCGCTGAGGAATCTCAGAGTCGGCAGGCTGCGCGCGAACAAGAAGAAGGAAGAGCCGGAAGAGGACGACCTAAGAGGGCTGCTGGACGACGATGAAGGGTCCAAGAGAGACTCTGCTGGCAGTTATGGCCAGTCAGGTGATGACGATTCGCCGCTCTTGCCTGAGCAGCACACACCACGGAGAAGACGGCAGCCACCACCGAGCGCGCTTTCCCGCCTGGGCTCCAACATGCGCCTGCCCAGCTTCCTCTCACGCCAGAACAACGCCCCCATACAGTTAGGCGACGACGCCGGAGAGTCGGATGCCGACGAGGAGCACGATCCGACCACCCAGCGCACCATCTCCGTCGGCCAGCTTCAGACCTCGAGATTCCCCGCGAACGCCGTGTCGAATGCCAAATACACCCCGTGGAGTTTCCTCCCACGCACCCTCTACAATGAGTTCTCCTTCTTCATCAACATGTACTTTCTGCTCGTCGCCCTATCGCAGGTCATACCCGTCCTCCGGATCGGCTATTTGTCGACATACATCGCACCGCTGGCTTTCGTCTTGACGATAACGCTGAGTAAAGAGGCTATGGACGATATTGCTCGACGGCGGAGAGATGCAGAAGCAAACTCGGAGGGTTACACCGTTCTGAAGTTTGAGGAGAACAGCCTTGGGAACGGCGTCGCGCCCGGAAAGAACTCGCAGAGGAAGAAGCGCCTGAGGAAGCAGCCCAAGGACGAGGGTCGGTTGGCAGACATTGATGATGAGGAGCAGCGACTTTCGGGCAAGGGTCTGGCGACATGCACCTACTGGGAAGTTGTGAAACCCTCTCGGAGCCTCAGAGTTGGAGACGTCGTGAAACTCGGCAAGGACCAGCGAGTGCCTGCCGACATGGTGCTCCTCAAGAGCTACTCCAGCGAGAATGCAGCACCTATTGAAGATGACTCCAAGGCGCAAAGTTCATCGGCTGCGCTTATTGATGGCATGGACACCGGCGACACGGCCAAGGTTGACAGTGCCACAGCTTCTGGAACCTCAGGAGAAGCCTTCATCCGAACAGATCAGTTGGACGGTGAAACCGACTGGAAGCTGCGCCTGACCTCGCCACTTACACAGAATCTGGATATTGGCGAGTACACCCGGCTCCGCGTCGTGGCCGGCAAACCGGACAAGAAGGTCAATGAATTCTACGGAACCGTTGAACTGCCACCCAAGACACAGCGACATTATGACCCTCATGATAACGAAGAAACGACGTCCCCCACAGAAGTGCAGTCAGCACCCTTGAGCATCGACAACACCATCTGGGCGAATACTGTCGTTGCATCAAGCTGCAGTCTACTGGCTGTGGTCGTATACACCGGCCCACAAACTCGTCAAGCGCTTTCTACATCGCCTTCAAGATCCAAAACTGGTCTGCTTGAATTAGAGATAAACTCTCTGACCAAGTGGCTATGTATCTTCACCCTCTCGCTCTCTTTCATCCTAGTGGCACTCGCGCGATTCCAGGTCATCGAAGGCCGGCAATGGTGGGCGTCAATGCTGAGATTCCTCATTCTGTTCTCCACTATTGTCCCAGTAGGTCTGCGTGTCAATCTCGATATGGGCAAGTCGGTCTATGCATGGTTCATACAGCATGATGAAAGTATCAAAGGTACTATCGTTCGGACTAGCACAATCCCAGAAGACCTGGGTCGCATTGAGTACCTGTTGAGCGACAAGACAGGTACTCTGACACAGAATGGTATGTTCAACCATGAAGTAATCTCGACACGACTAACAGTACGTAGAGATGGTCATGAAGAAGATTCACGTCGGCACAGTCTCGTACGCAAACGAGGCCATGGACGAGGTATCATCATACGTTCACCAGTGCTTCACACCACCCGCCGGAGAAGCCCCATCGCTTGTCACGCCTTCTTCTGCATACATCGCACCTCTCACCTCAGCTACTCGTACGCGCCGAGAGATTGGATCCCGGGTCCGCGATGTTGTGCTAGCCCTAGCTCTCTGTCATAACGTAACGCCGACCACGGAAGAAGAGAACGGGGAGACAGTGACTACATACCAAGCCTCCTCTCCCGATGAGATTGCTATCGTCAGATGGACCGAGGCTGTTGGTTTGAAGCTTCTGTCTCGCGATCGCGAATCTATGACCCTTCTATCGTGCGACAGCGGGAACACTGTCGTCAAAGTGCGCATTTTGAATGTCTTTCCCTTCACATCAGAAGGCAAGCGCATGGGTATCGTCGTGAAGTTCTATCAGGGTCCAGCATCATCACCCACTGATGATGGTGGCGAGATATGGTTCTACCAGAAGGGTGCCGATACTGTCATGACCTCTATTGTTGCCGCCAACGACTGGCTCGATGAAGAGACAGCCAATATGGCCCGTGAAGGTCTCCGAACACTGGTCGTCGGCCGCAAGAAGCTCTCATCGCAAATTTATCAAGACTTCTCCACCAAGCATGCTCAGGCTTCGCTTGCCCTTAATAACCGCGATGCTGCCGTCGCCAACGTAGTAAAAGAATATCTGGAGAATGACCTAGAGCTTCTCGGTGTCACCGGTGTCGAAGACAAGCTCCAAAAAGACGTCAAACCCTCCCTTGAACTCCTCCGCAACGCAGGTATCAAGATCTGGATGTTGACGGGCGACAAAGTAGAAACAGCCCGCTGTGTAGCCGTCTCGTCCAAACTTGTAGCCCGCGGCCAATATGTCCACACCATCGCCAAGCTAAAGCGCAAAGACCTCGCCTCTTCCTCCCTTGACTTCCTCCGCGGAAAACTAGACGCCTGCCTCCTCATCGACGGCGAATCCCTCGCGCTGTTCCTCCAACACTTCCGCCAAGAATTCATCACCGTCGCCGTGCAACTTCCTACCGTAGTCGCCTGCCGCTGCTCGCCCACCCAAAAAGCCGACGTTGCACGCCTCATCCGCGAGTTCACGAAGAAGCGCGTATGCTGCATCGGCGACGGCGGCAACGACGTCTCCATGATCCAGGCCGCAGACGTAGGCGTCGGCATCGTAGGAAAAGAGGGCCGCCAAGCCTCTCTCGCAGCCGACTTCTCCATCGAGCAATTCTGCTACCTCGTCAAACTGCTCGTCTGGCACGGCCGCAACAGCTACAAGCGCTCCGCGAAACTAAGTCAATTCGTCATCCACCGCGGTCTCATCATCAGTATCTGCCAAACCGTCTTCTCCATCGCCAGCAGCTTTGAGCCCAACGCTCTGTACAAAGACTTTTTGCTCGTCGGCTACAGCACGATTTACACCATGATGCCAGTGTTCTCTCTCGTGCTAGACCGCGATGTCGATGAGAGCGTGGCAAACCTCTACCCGGAACTGTACGCCGAACTCAAAACAGGACGTAGTCTGAGTTACAAATCTTTCTTCATATGGGTTGCAGTCTCTGTCTACCAGGGCTCCATCATACAAGGTCTCTCTCAACTCCTCATTGGCGTGGGTACATCCACAACACCGCCTGCGGCACCTGACCCCACTTTCCTCAAGATGGTCAGCGTCAGTTTCTCCGTGCTTATCGTGAATGAGCTTGTTATGGTGGCTATGGAGGTGACGACGTGGCACTGGATCATGATTGCTAGTATTGTGGGTACGGCGGTGATTTACTTTGGCTCGGTGCCGTTTTTGACGGGGTATTTTGATCTTGAGTACGTGGGCAGTGTGGCGTTTTGGTGGAAGTTTGCGGTTATTGCGGCGATTAGTCTTGTGCCGCCTTATGCGGTTAAGTTGTTGAGGAGGACGCTTAAGCCGCCGAGTTATCGGAAGGTGCAGGGGGTGTAGGGGTACGCATAGCTGGAGTTTGGGTTGGGGTAACGAGAATTTATTGTTATCCTTCGTTGCCGCTTTTTGATGTGTTACATTTATTGGGCCCCTTGATGGCGCCGCTATCTGCTTCGTTGACCTGACTCTCTTGCTCCAATAGGTCGGGCGAAGCCATTGTCCCATCTCAATTCCGCCATGTAGCCGCAGCCTGATACATTTCGCGTAAAAGATATGTCCATCTTCCGCACTCCCTACGCAATCTTTTGCAGAGTCCCCGATCCGTTCTTCTTCGCCCTCGGAACCCACAGGTCCTTCCTGAATCCCCACTCGACCTTGCGAATGCCGTCATACTCCACATTTGACACGCCAGACACTGAGAGCCAAATCAGAGTACTCCGCTCAGGGACTTCGTACATATGGTGGTAGGACACCTGTGGTGGTTCTGCGTCGAAGACCTTCCGGACGTGTTGTAGGACAGATTCACTGATTCGGGGAAGATGATGAAAACGATGGTGAGCCTGGAAATGAATACGCTTGAGAGCAGTGAACAGCTCGAGGAGTTTGCCCTTGTAATGTCCATGAATAAGGTCCGCCGTGAGCATGAGGTACGCAATCTTCTTGATGACGCTGGGACGCAGTAAAGTAACCAAAAAACGCACTTTCTTCTCCTCAAGACACACCGGGATGCTGATACCTGGTCCTCCGCGGTCGTCGTTGTCGACGAGGAATCGGGAGGAGAGGAAGAGAACGTCCTGCGAGAAGTTCATGTACACGCTGAAGGTGGTCGTGTACTTCGTCTTACATCTGCTCTGGCAATGTGCGTTGACCTGGTTTAGAACAAAAGCGTTAGTATACCGAACCTCAAGGTAGTGATTTTGAACGAGCACTTACTGTAACCCACTCTCCGCCGCCGGCTTTGGCAGCTTCACATCGCGCTTCGCAGTTGACTTCGAAAAGCGTTGGATAACGACGCGATACCGCGACAGCGATTGTATTCGATGTTGGGTTGTAGCTATGGAGCTCGATGATGCGGTTGCGGCCATTGAGATCGTGGTAGTCGTCCTCGAGGGCAACGTGCCAGATACGCACGCGCAGTTCAGCGGGCAGGTCGGAGAAGAGGTGGAATGCAGTCGCCATGGTTGCGTTCAAGCTTCGAGTCGATAGAAGTTGAAAAGTACAGTTTGGAAAGACTGAAGATCTTCCTGGTGCTGTGGTGAGGGCGGAGATCTTGAAATAAGTGCAAACAGAAAGCTTGGGCTTGGCATTCACCGTTGCCCGGTACAGTGCGCTATGACGTAGGCACGTGGCAGAGATACCGTTCGAGGAAGGAGACAGATGGGTATGGACGGGTCGTCCCGGCTAGCTCCAGTGTGACACCATGCGAGATCGGTAAGTGAGGAAAAATCGAATCGGGTTCCGGACATCTCCGTAACGCGCACTAGGGGGGGGTTGATAGGGGTAGGATAGCATATCAAAATCGCGATAGGTCAATGTAGCCCTTTCATCCGAAGTCAGCCTGTTGTCACGTAATCGTCCTTGGCACCATGACTTGCCCGAACAGTCTTCAACAGCGACACCGCTGTCGCAAATGTCGGCATGACAAATCCCTGTCATGTGTGAAAGCTGTTAAAATTACAAAATCTAGCAACATATGTTATAAAATCTCTGAACAATGCGTGTTCGCAGAGTGTCTTGTGTGATACATCTTATGCCTGGTACCTGTTTGCAAAGAAAGCTTCTTTTTGTGTGATATCATATCGCAAGCGTATCAAGGGCAACACCAATCGCGCGTTAATCAATATCACATATGATTGCTGATGCATAGATGTCACATAAATGCTCTAACTATGTTAAAAGGTGTCAACAACGATGGCATAGCAGTCTTAATGTCGTTCTGTTCGTAATTGTCTTCAAAATTGATAGGGTGTGGACAGGTTTCACGGGTGACAGCGAACACTCCCAAATCATGACTTTAATTATAGGATACGAACAGCCATTGCGCATAAGATTGCTAGCATGTAGAATATATAGCAATAGCTACATATGCATCACATTAGACACGGTAAGAGCAGCACAGTCAGAAGTAATAGTATCTTCTTTGGCTTGTAACAGCGCATCCTCAGATTAACCTCACCCGCCGCCCTATCGAACTCGCTGCATGTAGAAGAAGCGCACAGCTGTTACGAAGACATCATGCGACAACTTGTTACGATGTATTTATTATGCTATCTTAGTACACCCCGCTTGTTGCAGCCTAAATGGTCGTAGTAAGCAGGGCCCGCTGCCGCGCCCCGGACATGCTGGCATTACTAAGGCAGTCAGAGCAGGGCTCAACACCAACAGATAATGCATATTCACGACAGTCTTTTATCTTCAGTACTACAACGCTAGCGAAAGGCTTTCTGTGCAAGCTACGCTACGTAGCGAATGTACATAATAATAACCCTGCAATAGTGTCACAGATTAGAAAAGTAAAGAAGAGTATTTAGAGAAGGTTGCTATTAAGATCTCGAGATAAAGAAGCTACATACATATGTAGTGGGTATTATCGCTAGTAAATATAACAGACGCCTAACTGTTAGGAAGGCAGAAGAAAATGTAGAAGACATAAAAGACATAACTAGGCCGGCCTAGATGCTAGATATATAAGACATTGTGTTGAAAGTACTGCTGCTACAAGGCATGCTTTCTGTGAAACTATAAAGAACTGTAACATACCGAAACAAACAACCTACATTAGGTATAGCTATAAATCTAATTAGATAAGGAGTAAAAAAGAAAAGGTGTAGACATCGAACTTCTGTATAGTAGAGGCGCAGAAACTTCGCGTGGACAAAACTGCCTATCTCTGCTAGGCATTTTGCGGGGAAGGGCTTTGTTGAGTAGGCGGATCGACATTGTTAAAGAGCTCGTCTTTGCCTGGTTTTACCCCTGGTAGTAGGGAAAAACCTACAAGTCCTGCGTTCACGAAGTTGGGACGATTCTTAGGGGCGGATCGATTCTTGCGGTCGCGGGCTAGGTACTTTAAGCTCTAGGTTATATTAGCTATAGTCGGTCGGTGCTTTACAAACTCTAGTATAGATAAATATGCGTTAAAGGCGTCGACGATACTCTTGTAAGTGTAAAGAGGATCTAGCTGCTTCTCGCGACTAGACTTAGCGTCTAGAATTAGCTTAGTGTAAGCCGCTACTATAACAAAGATGCCTAAGAGTATATTAGCATGCATAACTGTTAAAAGCGTAAACTCTTTTACTTACTCTTTGCGTACTATTTAACAATAGGCGCAGAATGCTCTTAGTTGTATACGTTCGCTATAAAAGTGAAAACCTTGTTAAAGTCTAAGACAGCAACTTTGTCGTTAATCTTTAGGCAGAGTTTAACTAGATTACAACAACGCTAAATGCTGTGTAAACTACTACGCTTAAGCAGAGCCTTAACCTAAATCTAAAATGTTAGCAGACGTCTATTATAAGCAGAGTAAGAAAGCTTACTCTTATGTTTGCTAGTCCCCTGCTCTTCTATTAGTAGCAGTTGCTGCGGATCTTACTTATACCTATCTCTATAACCTAAGCCGTATCGGGCTTTTCGTAGAATTCGCTTAGTACCTTCTAAGTAATTAAGACAACTACATTAGGGTTAAGAGTTAGAAAGTAGTAAGGCTTAGCATACTGCAGCAGAAGCTTAAGGCGGGATGTAATGTCTTTAGATGTATTGCGCATGTTCTTCTTAGTATATATACGCTTAGAGAGTTTAGCGGCATTAGAAGGCTATTAGATTTGTTAGAAGAGAAGAGAAATAAAGAAGTATTTACTTACTAGTATAGCATCTACTAACTCTTTTAGACAAAGTTAATTAAATAGTTCTCTTGTTAGTTAAGCCTTAATTGCCTAGCTTGCTTAAGGCTCTAGAGAGAGATATTGCTGTTACTTCTGCTATTCTATTATGCGCATAGCGTTGTTCTTGCTTAACTTATTACTAGACTCTTTCTTGTTCTTGTTATTAGCACTACTTCTAATAGTCTTAACACTATAAATGTTGCTAATAATGCTACGACCTTTTACGTGTATAGTGCCGGCCTTCTTCTTAAGCTTCTTAAGCTTTACCTTAACCTTAGAAGATGTAGGTAACTTAAGTAGAGTAGTAATCTCGGCATTGTTATTGCTACTAGGTAGCGCAGGGAACTCTTGCGCGAAACTTAGAATAGATATAGTTTGCGATTCTGTAGTTTCTAATACCTGTAAAGCCTTCTCTTCTGCTAGCGCCTTTCTTGCTCTTAGTTTCTTAGTGACAGAAACTCTGCTTGTCTTCTTGTCTTGTATATCTTTACTCTTGCTTAACGCGCTAGCTCTAGATAGTGCTAGTTGTGTATTAAAGTGTAGTGTTATAGACGTAGATAATTTCGATCAAGAGGTTTCTGCGCAACGCGGAGTTGCATAGAGTAAAGCTAATTAAGTATTAAGAATCTTTCCTAGGCTGCTATAAGAGCTACTAGATAGTTCGCGATTCTCTCTAGCTTTAGCGGTTTTAGTGCGGGCGCGCTTTAATTAAGCCTTAGGCTTAATAGACGGGATAACTTTATTAGCAGAGTTGTTATGTAGCTAATAGCGCGCTCTGCGCTTGCGTAGAGTAGTTTACTAAGAGTTTATAGTAGCTATTGCGCGGGACGAACAGAGAAAGAAAGAAAGAAATAGAAAAGAAATAATTAACAAAACAGCACTCGCAACAGAGAACGTAAAGCAGCGTAGTAGTTGTAGTAGTAAGGTTAAAGAATAGAACTAGTAGAGGATAACACGTCTAATGCACTGTAGAGTAGTCTGTGCTTAAGCTTAAGCTACTCTTTCTCTACTTAGTTTAATAGCTCTTTCTGTAACTTCTACTCTGCTATCGTACACTCTACAGACCCCTCTAATTCTGCAATATATTCTGTACCTGTCGCGCGCCTACTATATTAACCTCTTTATCTTTATAATATCTACATTCTGCTTACTGTTGCGCTGCGGTTAATATAGGTATTTTATAGTTTGTCTACAGTCTCTAATTCTATTAAATCTAACACTGCTAGATTCGCGTTCTCTACAGAGCCTGTAAGTATTTGTTAAATCTGTTTACTTTCTGTTCTAGCAGAACATGCGCGAATGCGTACAACACTTTACTAGACTTGCTTTAATATCTTCGCTATCTGCATTAGTCTGTAAAAACCTATATACTGTAGCTATGCAACGGACCTATTTTGTACGCTATATATACGGACTTAATTAGAATGCCTAGAACTTTATACTCTTCTCCTCTACTAGCTTTTCTAATTTAGCTATTACATTTTAGTTCTTCTACGTAATCTAAGTCGCTATCTAAGCAGCTAGCCTACTAAACCTTCTAGTATTAGAAATATTAGACTTAGCTATATTGCTCCTAAACCTTCACTACCTAGCTAGCCTACTAATATATCGGACTTAGCCGTATCGCTTCTAAACCTTCACTACCTGCTAGCCTACTAGTATATTAGACTTAGCTATATTGCTCCTAAACCTTTACTACCTGCTAGCCTACTAGTATATTAGACTTAGCTGTATTTAACACTTATGTCTTTAAGATAGATTTTCTAAAGTCTAAAACGTTAGAGTGTGTACTAATGTGTATGTGTGTCTAGGTTAACTCTTATTACAGCTACTCTCCTCTATCGCTAGAGGTTGTCTAATACTTCTACTATGTAATTCTATACCTTCTTCTACTCTTTAGACTGCTAGGTCTATACCCTTATTAATCTAATTAACATACTCTGTTATCTAGGATACCCTCTAGATTCTAAAAAGGTTAGTTTTACACTCTCTTTCTAGAAGACCTTAAGTAGATAGTATCTAGATCTACTAGAGCCTAACAAAGCCTTTATTTATACTCTTAAACTCTTTCTTTTTCTTCTACTTCTTTACAGGTTATTAGAAGTTATACCTTTTAGCCTTATACAATTTCCTAATGTATTTCTGCATTGTATAACATCGCGGCTTAGATATTATATTCTAAGCCTATTACAATCTAAATATTTAGGCTATTAGATTTCCTGCCTTTTCGCTCTGTACAAACCTTAGTTTCTTCTCTTTTTCTGCATCGCACGATATTACAGCTCTAACATAATCTTCTAA